CTGCAACTTGTGTGCTGGCGGCCTGCCGCTTGCTGACTGGCTGAGTGGCAGCTGCTTGCGCTGTGTGGACTAGCTAGTGAGCACGTTGGCAGTTGGCGAGGACTCTGGGGGTGGGAACTCAGAGGGGTGGAATGTAGATGGGTGCCCAAGGCCCAATGGCTGACAGTTTTGCACAAATGTTTTTCGTGCCGGGCTTAAGTCACCCTTACAGGCCTGCTCAGTGATTAGGACCGGCTGGTGAAAGCCAGTCTGCTTGGCAGCAGATTTGACATGTGTTACAGTTAAATCATTTTGGTGCCCCAAAATAGTGGAGAATAAGAGAAACCCCACGTTGGGTGTGGACTTCAGTAGAAAGGTTCTAACTTCTGTCAGAGGCCTGGTGGGAGCAAGGCAGGCTTGGCCCTGTGAGGGTTCAGTATTGACTGCAGTGACCCTTATCCCCGTGACACCGGGAAGAAGCTTCCAAATCTATTCTGAACTTTGCCTCTTGCTGGTGAAGTGAGCAACCCGGGGAGCTGTTTCGAAGCATGTTTCTTCCCTCTTCTTTCCAGTAACTGCTGTTCGTGTAAAACGAACATTATAAGAATGGATTCAGGGACTTGATAAGGGACTAGATGAGTTAATTTCTTCCTAGACATGGAGGGGAAAAACTGGTTGGGCTAGACGGTCTTTAAAAAAAAAAAAAAAATCTCTGTCTTACTAATAATAGCAAGCAACTGCTGAGAGGATTTTAGGGGGAAATGCAAACTCAAATAATTGACATTTCTGGCATAAAGATGGAAAAAAGTTATAAAATCCTCATTTTTGCACAGAGGCCCAGATGCACCAGGCTGGCCTTGCTCTGCAGTAGGAAAGTGCTGGTCCAGGGAAGCCGCTGTGGTGTGCAGGCAGGTTTTATAGATTTTGTTTGCAGCATTCTTGTCCCCCCTGCTTCTTACAGGGAGGCTGCTTCCAGATGCTCTGCATTGTCCCTCAGAAGGACTAGGTTTCTAATTACTTGCTATGTATAGTCTTGAAGGGAATGTGAAGTATGTATCAAAGAGCCAAGGAATGTAGCAGTAGTTGTTCTCACTCTATCTTGGATGGAGCATGGGGACAGGGCTTCAATGAGGGGGCGAGTTTGTCAGCTTGAGAGGAAGACTCTAGCTAGCCATTAATGTTTCTACTGTCCCCTTCATGTGTTACTGCTTTTCTTCCTTTATTTCCTCTTTGGTTGTTGTATTCAACTTTGGGAAGGGCTTAGGTGCAAAGGCTAAATAATTTATTGAGGAAATAAGCAAAAACTCAGTAAAAGACTTTTGAACCAGGGCCTCCCCGGTGGTGCAGCGGTTGAGCGCTGGGTTGCGAAGCTGCCCGCAGCCTCTGCAGCGCCGGTTCTATCCCCGGCTGCTCCCCGGCCACCGGAGGAGGGTCCCACATGGTGCGCAGACCTCTCCTGCCGCCCGCTGCTCCCCTCAGCAGTGTACTTCGGTCCTTCTGCCTGCTCTGCTGCCCGCTCTGGCTCTGGTGAATTCTCTCACCCTCCCGCGCTTCTGACTGTACCCAGTGCTTGTATAAATAAATAAAAATAAATCTTAAAAAAAAAAGACTTCTGAACCAGCTTGATAATGGTGAGGTGCAGAAATGATGTTCCATAGGAAATTATGTTGCATTCCTAGGTTGATAGTATCCAAATGGGTTAGTTCTGAGAAGGCATATGAGCTAAATTACTGTTTGTCTTCTAAAGTACTTTTTCCAAAGCATTATTTATGTGCATGTGGCAGTACAGGACTTCAGGATTTTGTTTTGCTTTGGAGGTCTTTGAAGAAAATTTCCCCATTAAGCTGTCACTCTTATCTAGGTTTGCAAATGCTGTATTGCTGAGGGATTTCTTGCCCTCTGAACGGACTCTCCCTGTTCACTTGAGGAAATCTTCCAGTAGGCAGATGTAATCACACTAGAGCCCATGTCTGTCTTGCTCATCCCTGTGTCTCCAGTGTCTAAAAGTCTGCTGGCACATAGTAGATGCTCAACAAATATTTACTGAATGAATGAGGTGGGAGGGCAGGAAAGAGAGACGGAAATGATTGAATGCCACCCATCTGTATATCTACATGGTGTGTGATATGTTTCAAGAGCTTTGGTCATCATCCCCAATCACCTTCATATTGACAAATCCAGCTTTCTCTCCTCTGTCCCTGTTGTTCTCAGCAGTACTTTTCGTAGTAGTAGTCCTGCTCTCCTGTCTTCTCAGCTTCCTTTACATCACTCTCTCCTGAGTTTCTTCTTAACTCAGTGATTGCTTTTGTTCCTTGGCTTTGCTTATGTATATTGACATGTCCCAGCAGTTGGTCTTAGGTAGATGCCTCTACTTCTACATATCTTCCTGGATGATTTCATCTAATAATAGCTTCAGATACCAACTTTGTTTGTTATCTGTAGTCCAATGCTCCTGAGCTCCAGACTGAGACAACTAATTGTATACCTGACAGCTCCTTTTTTCAATATAACAAGTATCTCAACCATAAAGTGGTCAGAGAAGAACTTTCTTCCTTCCCTAAAACCTGTTTCTTCCATCGACTGTCCTGGGGTTCTGAGATAGTTTCTTTGGTCACCTAACCATCCATTTTTCACATAGCAGTACATTGATCCTTTACGATAGGTAAAGTAACCAAGACATTTTCCATCTTTGAATTCTTCCATTGCTCCCATAACATCTAAAATTCTGACTGCTTACTCTGCCTGTATCACCTGGGTTCCCTCCCAAAACTACCAAAGTTCTTCACTTGTCTCTTTTCAACCTGACCACATTTCTGTTCCTGGAGCATGCTAACCTAGTTCTCACCTCAAGACCTTTGCACTTACTGGTTTCCTTTGCCCAGAATGCTCTGCTCCCCAGATCTTCAAATGCCTGATTCCTTCCTGTTATTTTTGTCTCTGGTCAATGTCACTTCCACAGAAACATCTGAACCACTTTATTCCAAGTAGCCCCCTGCCTCATTGTATTTTCTGCAAAGCACTTAATGCTAAGGTTACTGTAGTCATCTATTTATTATTACTTTCTTAGGAATTTTGTCTTATATGGATGTATTTCCCTCCTTCTGAAGAGTATCAGTAACAGAGCAGATACTAAATAAATATTTGCCGAATCAGTGAATATGCAGTATCATTTAATCTTCATGGGAACTGGAGGCTCAAGAGGTTGGTAAACAACTTGACTTCTCAAGTTTTCAAAGCATTTTTTTTCTACTATAATCCAGATGGCAGGTACATATCTTATTTGAATTAGCTTCATATTTTTAGTTTGAGTGTAGAGAAAGAAAATGATGTATCTATATCAGAATGAACTATTGCATATAATACCTGTATCCCCGAAAGAAGATATTCAGGCAGGCTTGATGGCATTGCCCACTATAAAGGTTAGGGTAAAAGAGAAAGATGGAGAAAAGGGAAGGAATTGTACCCTTGTTAAATATTGTGATATTTAAATTAAAGACTAATAGGTGCTAGGCACAAAAATTGAATACTTTTACATATGTATCTGATTTGAATCTCAGAGCAATCATACAAGGTTGATATTATTACCCTCATTTTTATAGATGGAAAACTGAGGCTCAAAAATGTGAAATACTTTGCTTCAGGTGATACTCAGTGCTACTCAGAAGTAGGTTTTTAAAACCAGGTCTACCTGACACCAAATTTCTGACTTTTATGCTAAGATAGTTCCTTTGTCAGATGGATAAGCTCCTAAAATAGAAAGAAGGTGAGTGTATTCAGTGCATATCTGCATAGACTATAACAAATATCTGAAGCACAAGAATAAGTCACACAGACAATATGGAAAACAGACCTACAATATTCAATGCCTGAGCATGTAATTGGATGAATAGAATACAGAGTGAACATTTGGTTCTCTGGCAGAGCTCATGTACGGTATGACATAGAGCAGCTGTCCCCAGAGAAACTTCTTTGTTTCTAGACCGGTACGACACAAGCAGCATTTGAGCAATTCAGGATTTCTTTTTGCTTTCACTATAAATAGAGTTCGTGGAATTCTGTATGTCAAAGTTAATGCAATGAAAAGAAGTTGCAGAATATGGAAATAAACCTTAACTCTTTCTATAAATTAGAAACATGTTTGGCATCGGGAGACCGTAAAAACACTATCATTAGTTGGATGGATTCTGAGGTCTTATTTAGCATATGAAATTGCAGAGTAGATCCTATTATGTAAGGACAGCGTAATGTGGCTACCAAATGAAGAACTTTATGCCCTTCAGGGAAGAGTTAACAGGACAGATAGACGTAGAGAGAGATGTGTGATAAGAATGTGGAAAATGAATGAATGGGTGGCATATTATATGTGACTGTTGCCGAAGTCGGGTTTCTGTATAATCCTCAGATGTCAGATTTCCGTAAGGCCAACATGTGACTCAAAGCTTGCCACTCAACAGAGAATACTGGGCTGTGCTGGTATTAAGAGGCTGGCTGGAAGCTAAGCTCCCACTGTGCACTAGCCTAACTCCCTGTCGCTTTCTCTGTGTGGGTGGGTGTGCATGTGTGTGTGTGAGGGTATACATTTTTATGCAGTGGGTGTTTAAAGAGCCAAGCACTGAAGCTGGATTTCTACAAACGATCATCACGAGCACTTCAGACATACCAAACTTCCTTTCTTGGTATTTTTTTTTTTTTTTTTGGCTTTCATCATTTTTTTTTTCCTTTGCAAATCCCTAAGGGGAGAACACCCAACATCTAGCCTACAGGATTGATATTATTTTCTCTCACCTGCCCATGTGGGTGCCCTCTCAAGGTTAGGGCTGAAGCTATGTGGGACCGGCATGTTCTCCAGCACCAGAAGCGAAGAGCTGCGTGAAGGAGTAGCAGACACCAAAGGAAGAGTGACTCTGCTCTGCTAACATGAACAACAGCGTGCAGGTTAACCTGCCCAGAAGCTGGGCTGCTTCAAGTGGCTCACTCCAGGAGAAGTCTGAGCATTCTTTTTTTCTTTTTTATTACTATAGGATGGAGGATGAAGCTGTCCTGGACAGAGGGGCTTCCTTCCTTAAGCATGTGTGTGATGAAGAAGAAGTAGAAGGTGAGCTTGCTGGGTTGGGGAAAGTGCATATTCATGGATATGTGTATGTACAGATACACATACACATACATGCATACATGCATGCATACATACACAGATACACACGTGTATGTATATATTGTATTTGTAGATAATAGCATTCCTACATTTCATATATCTTATATATTCGAAGTTAAAAACCAAAGCGTTTCTATGGAGTTTCATTAATCTCCACATTTTGCTTCAACACAGAAAGTAATTTTAAAAACTTGTTTGGATCCTCAGCATCTGAATCAGTATGGATCTACATGTTAAAGAAAAAGTCCCTTTTGAAGCAGATGCTAATGTTAGCTGTGCTTTTCTGTCAAAAATAAATATTTTGTTGGATAATATTAACCACTTTCCTATGACTAACTCGAGGAAGCTGCTAGATTTATATAAATGTTTTTGGCAGCATCTTCTAATATCCTTGGAGCTTGCAGGGTAGAGAATAAATGTTACAGCAGGATGATACCATTGTTGCAGGCAAAATCATTCTAATCTGAAGATAGATAGAATGATCATCCTGAATGACTGTCAGGAAAAGATGGACAAACATTTTTTACATAAAAAAGCTCTAGAACCTCTTTTGCTCATGTTCTCCAGTGCCCATTACAAACCAAATAAAAGTGAAATCTTAGTTGTTGTGCTGATGCTTTCAGTGTCTCTTCTCTTCTTATCCTTGATTTATCAATAAGGTGGAAATAATGCCCTTTTTTTGATATAGAGAAGGCAGGGCTTAATTATTATTAAGGCAACGGTGTAAATGCACTACAGATATACAAAGTAGTATTAGTATTTATAATGAAATTAAAACAAATAAGCAGGTAATACTCATAAAGTTTAAATGAAACTTATAGATAGCTTTCATAAATTCTGCCTTATAAAAATCATCTCAGACTAATCTGAATGGTAGGTACTCTTTGGTACATATTTAATACTTACCAAATACTTGGACCAAAGAGGTGATGGTGTTGGAAAAGAGGGTGGGGCGCTGTGTGTTTTGGAGTGACTCTTCAACCATGCTGAACACCAGGTTTTGGGCACGTGATTCTCCTGTGCCACCTAGAGTAGACTGAACAGTGTGCTTATTGCTATTACGTGATTCCTCATGTTTCCTTAGGAAGTTTCTTCTGACCATGTAGTGTTGGAGGATTGGTGCGCCCTCCTTCCCCTTCCTGCACTAATGCTCTTGAGACTGACTAAAAAGAATTTCATGCCTATGTTTCTTAGGAAAAAGGAAACTACAATATTTTCTTTAATATTGTTTTATGGGTTCCTTGCACTTTTACAACATGACTGTGGGAAAATGTTAAGTTCGCGAAAACAAAGTAGTAAACTTTTGTCTTAAGATTCTTGTAACCCATGATGTTAAGTCTCCATTGTGGTGACTTCTGTCACAGTCCCAATGTCAAAGAGGAGCCAAAAACTTACATTTATAGTATATTGAGTGTAGGAAATGTTGTAGGATTGAGTGAATTTCATATAGTGTCAGAACAGTTAAAGTAGAAAAATCAGTGAGAAAGCTTGGGAATGAGATGTGTTATGTGTGTGTTTTCCTTGAGAATAATGTTCCAGCTAAGTTCACAGGAGATGTAAATCACTTCCTGAGTTTGTAAGGTCTGTCGGATGGACAGCACCCTACTGCAATAGGATATTGTACATGGTTTCTCAAACCTTTGACTAAGAAGTTTATTTCCTGAAGTATTTCCCTTGATTTTCAAGCACAAAGTTAAGACAACAGTCTAATGAATAGCACACAAAACTGTAGCCAGGTTTCTTTAAGGAGAAACAAAAAGACAAAAGGTGATAGAAACATTGGTGAAATTGTGTGACTTTGTGATGATTAAATTTGCCATAAGGATTTGGTGTATTTTCCTATTCTGATAAGACTTCTATTATCTTTTTGTTGATTGGAACCTGAGGTGATTACATTTCTTTCAAGGAGTCTATAGCTAGTTGCCTGTTGTTGAATCCTGTGGCCCTGTAGCATGGCTGCGTATAGTGTTATTGTTTGGTGGGGAAAGTCCAACAGTTTAGTTCTTGTAATACAACTAAGAACTATTCCTTTCTAATTCAGTGTCCTTCTGATTGACCCTCCCATTTTCTCATCTATATTCATAGTAACTCCAGCGAAAGTATAAAGGACCTGGATATGATGACTTGTTCCTGGTCCCAGTGGTTGATACTGAAGGAACAGATGTCTAAAACTCTAATAAGGGCTTTGAGTGAAATATTCTCCTCAAGTAACTGAGTCTCCCCCATATTCTTAATTGCCTAAAGAAGGATACATTGGCAGGAAAGCCCTGTTATCTTTGTTCTGAAGTCACTGAGTTTCTTTGGTACATTTACAGCAGAAGTAAGTGCTGCTCCGGTTTTAAGGATCAGAAATTCAAAAGGCAAGGAACTAGAACATTTTGCATTTCTATTATCAATTATGTTTCCTTTTATCCAAGTAGTTATTTCTCTTGCTTCAGGATAAACATGGTTGACATATTCTACAACATTCTTGGCAAAAATAAGTTCAAAACTTTGTTTTTTAAAAAGTAAGTTGCACAAATAAAATGTATCCCCATATTAAGTGATTATTAGGGTGACAGAGTTGCAGTAGCCCTAGTTACTGAGAAATTAAAAATTCTTTTTGGTATCCCCTGGTTTGGAGTGGTTGGATACAGCTCAGCCTGAAGGCAAGAAGAGCCAGATGCTCTCAGAGTTCCTTCTAAAGCTGTAGTTCTGAGGAGGGGAGAGCGACTGACTTCTAGTCACGCCCTCAGTTCAACTGGTTCAACTTTACTCTCAGTGGGTGGCATGACACTTAATCCATGTTCTAAAAACTTAATAGAAAAGCATCAACTGTAAAACTCACTAGAACAGAGTGAGTCAGAAGAGGAGTCATCCTCTGCTTAATGAATTTATCTATGTGGTATATTTTTAAAGACCTAAACCTCGTTTGCACAAAATTTGCCTTATGTGCATTCATGTTAATGGCTTAAAGAGATACTCTTTGAAAAGGAATCCAGGGGCCAGTTTTAATCTTAAAAGAGAAGCTTTTGTATCTCCTTTTTCATTGGTTACCTTATGCTCTGTGTGTTTTATAAAGTTGATGTTTTTGGTACAGATTAGTTACTGTGGATAAACTCATTTAAAAATTGCATTGTTTCAGTATTCATATTTATTTCTGTATCTAAAGGCTCCTGTCTGGCCCAGGTATTTTCACAGAACTGGTTTGTGGATGAGAAATTGATGTCACCAGAACACAAAAAGAGGAGCCATGCTTAGTTTTCATTTTAAATACACTGAAATGGGAGAAATTACCCGATTTTGTTGGGTGAACCAAGATTGATATAGAAAGAAAAGGGTCCAGGTAGATTTTTCTTAACAGAAAGAGATCTTATGGATGTTTTATCCTTAAAAATGTCAGCCAGGATTTTGGATCTGTTTGACATAAACAGATTACTTAATATTCTCATATTTTGCAATAGGGGAAAAGAGCAAACTCCACCTTATCCTTTGAGATAAGGCCTTGGCTCTGCAAGGCTAGGTAACTCCCCAGCAAGCCTTGGCAACTCTGACTTTATGAACAGGGACCTTTTTTTTTTTTTTTAACACCAAGTCCAACCAGCAACTCAGGAAGCTTAAAGTACAGCAAGACGATATTGGCTAAAATGGGTCTCTGGTTCTCAAGTTTGATCGGTGCTCTCAAAGCTATTAAGAGATACTGTGGTGATTTTCCTCTTCCATTCAAAACCAAGCCTAAAGGGAAACGTGCTCCCATCTGTCCAAATGGTAGATTAACTCTACAAATTCCCATGTCTACAGATGGATATTAAGTGTTGTTGGAATTTACAGAAGGATTATTTTTAAATAAAAATAAAATTCAGATAAAGAAATAGACATAAAAATTAAACAGTAGGACAGAGGCTGAAACAGAGTAGATATTCACCAAATATTTATTTAAAAAGGTATGTAAAATAGAAATAAACCATGTGTAGAATTACTTAATAAAGTCACCTAAAATCTTTAAGTTTTTAATTAGAAAGTTGGTTCTCATAGTTAAGTGAGATAATAATCTCTGCTGATCATATCCTTGCTGTTACTCCTGTTTGATTTTGCAAAGATCATTGACATTTATTTTATTTATATTTTTATATCATTTAGAAAAAGAAACCCCTGAAACTCTTCTGCCGTATTCTTTCCTTCTATTCTATCTTCTGACTAAAATGATGAAATGGTGACTTTTGTCTTTTTGGAGATCAAGATCTCAACATTTTAGAAACATGAAATCATAATGACTTAAACTTATTTTCCACTAGAGGATATTATAATCATGTTTTCATGTAGATTGGAGGAGGTAGTATTCTAAAGGAAAACTGGGGCTGGGTAGACATTTGTTAATAATTACAATGGTCATAAACATAATTGCTGAGGAGTGAAGGAAAACCTATCACTTGGGAGGGGAGGGGAGCAGCCCAGGCTGAGGCTATTCTGAGGCTGGATATAAGTGTCTTGTTGCATTTTGCTGACCTCTTCTCTGCAGTTCACTTTAATTGCTCAGTAACACTGTCTACAGAGGAAACATTTTGGCAAATATGCTGAAGGAAAAGCTTCTTAAAAGAAGTGATGTATCCAAATATTAGCATGCTTTTTTTTTTTTTTTAAGATTTATTTATTTATTTTATACAAGAGCTGGGGTACAGGCCAGAGGCGTGGGAGGGTGAGAGGATTCACCAGAGACAGAGTGGGGAGCAGAACAGGTAGGCGACAGAAATACACTGCTGAGGGGAGCAGTGGGTGCGACAGGAGAGGTCTGCTGTACCATGTGGGATTCTCTCTGGCTGGCTGGGATCGAACCCGCATTGCAGAGGCTGCAGACAGCTTCACAGCGCAGTGCTCAACCCGCTGCGCCACCAGGGAAGCCCCAAATATTAGCATGCTTTAAAGAAATATGGTGAGGTGTTTAAAGGCTGATGCTTGAATAGCAA